CTTGGACCCCTCCTCTTCTCCATATACACTACATCACTGGGACCCATCATACAGGCACATGGCTTCTCTTTGCTATGCTGATGACACACAGCTCTATCTCTCATTTCAACCATATGATCCAATGGTAGCTGCATGGATCTCAGGCTGCCTGGCGGACATATCGGCATGGATGAAAGAATCACCTACAGCTCAACCTGGCAAAGACTGAGCTTCTCGTCTTCCCTGCCACTCCAACTCTACAGTATTTCTCCATGGTTTGAATCCTATCTCACTGGTAGGTCTTTCAGGGTGGCTTGGGGAGGGGAGGTATCCAAAGCACATCAACTTGTCACTGGGGTTCCTCAGGGATCAGTTCTTGGACCCCTCCTCTTCTCCATATACACAACATCACTGCGTCCCATCATACAGGCACATGGCTTCTCCTACCATTGCTATGCTGATGAGACACAGCTCTATCTTTCATTTCAACCAGATGATCCAACGGTAGCTGCACGGATCTCAGACTGCCTGGCGGACAACTCGGCATGGATGAAAGAACATCACCTACAGCTCAACCTGGCAAAGACTGAGCTTCTTGTCTTCGCTGCCACTCCAACTCTACAGCATGATTTCACCATCCAGTTAGGTTCATCAACAATTACCCCATCAACTTCGGTCAGAAATCTTGGTGTAATCTTTGATGACCAGCTGACCTTCAAAGACCACATTGCAAAAACTGCTAGATCTTGCAGGTTTGCATTGCACAACATCAGAAAGATCAGGCACAAAATTACTTTCCAGAACATTTTCGTTTACCATTCCTTGCTGGTGGAATGATCTTCCAACCCCTATCCGGAATGCTGATTCCCTGACATTTTTCAAGCGACAGCTGAAAACTCACCTCTTTTGTCAGTATCTGACTTCATCCTAAAAAAAATATATATATATTTTTCTCTTTTCATTTATCTTTCTCTGTCTAGCTTGTACTAATTTGTACCATGCTTGAATCTTGGTATGACGAGCACTTCTTGTGTCTATTTGCCTCTTTAAGATGAATCGCTTGATGTATTCCCCAATTGTCGCTTTGGATAAAAGCGTCTGCTAAATGAATAAATGTAAATGTTTTTCATTTTTGTTTTCGTTAGCGATAATAACCCTGTCGCTCACAAGCCTCATATTACGCAGTTTAAGCAGCTTTATTCAAAGACAAAGAGTCTCAGGGTTTCTCAGTATCAAACTAAACAACCGCTGAAAATCTCCTGATATGATGTGAGCAAAGCTACACAAGACACAGAGAGAATCAAATAAAGCAGCTTTCCATGACGTCACTGCAGCTCAAGCTTGGCAGGAGTTTACAGACCTTCCCCGAACAACACACACAGGTTTGTTTTTGTGAATTGTGGGGACATTCTATAGGCGTAATGGTTTTTATACTGTACAAACTGTATGTGCTATTACCCTACACCTAACCCTACCCCTTACAGCAAACTTTGTGCATTTTTACTTTCTCAAAAAAAACTCACTCTGTATGATTTATAAGCCTTTTGAAAAATGGGGACATGGGGTAATGTCCTCATAAGTCACCTTCTCCTTGTAATACCCAAGTCATACCTTTGTCATTATACAAATAAATTGGTTTGTATGTGATGTGTGTTTATGTGTGCTGCACTATGTTTGTGTGTGCATGTTAGTGAGGCTGTGTATGTGTGTTGAAGAGTATGTGGTGAAGAGAATGGCATTTTTGGTGATGATGGCTTTATCTGTCAAGACGCGCGCACACACACACGCGCACGCACACACACACACACACACACACACACACACACACACACACACACTCTGCATGTGTTACACTATAACAAAAGATCAAACCACACAGCATTTATTTTAAGCACACTTTTCACAAAATAATAATGTAATCAATCTTACACTGATAAGATTCTATATTCATTGCATACATATACTTCGTAGTAGACATCCTTAACTCCATTCTGCTGTCTGTTGATGTGTTGTCGGTGTTTCTTTGTCTGAATATGGCGCTTATCACATGTTGTGTGGTATCGGCGTTTGGTATCGGGGCATTTTAACGAGTACGAGTACAAGAGCTCAGTATCAGGCCCGATACCGATACCAGTATCGGTATCGGTGCATCCCTAATAATTATAATCAGAAATGATTACACTTCAGAAACGCATTCATCTCAGAGGACGGCTGTGTTGAGAGCAGAAGACTCAATGTCAGTGTGTCTTGTCTTTTGTCAGTCAAAACCAGCAGGTAAATGGCTGGAGTGGCAGGGAAATCAGTGTCTTCTGCAGGTAAATGCAGGTAAAATCAGTGCTGGAGTGACAGCAGCTCAGAGCCGCGGGTTTGATTAGGAAATGTGTCCTCCGTGAGATCAGCAACACTGAACACACACACACACACACACACACACCCAGACCTACACAACCAACAACAAAAACACTGAATAACTGAGATAAAACGACTATTGTGCCACATCTTGTCTCTTTCCTTTCCTTACAAGCCCAAACTTAATGTCCAAATCAGTGAAATCATGTAACATGGCTGTAGTAAAATACAGTCGACTACAAATTTGAAAGAGTTATTAAAAGTATATTAAGCTGTGAAAGACTTGCACTGTTCCCCAGATGTCTGTCTGTCATTAAGGACTTTTTTTGCTTACATTAGTTAGCCTAGTATTAGTTTCTGCTGTCGTATCCAAACTGGTGTTGAGACTTGTTTTACTGTATCAATTTTTTTATATAACATAGCAACCTTATTTCCAGCAAAATATACTTGGCTATACAGTAGAGCTGCCCGATTAATCGTTAAAAGATCGTGATCTCGATTCAAACACCCACGCGATCTGATTTCTAAATGACAACGATTATATGTAATACTGGGGTGAAAGTTTATAGTTCGGATATAAACATTGATGTCTATGGTAGAGATCAAAATAGAGCAAATCCCCTTTTGAAAGTGACTGGCGCTTCAAATAAGGTTTGTGTCGATTGCATTGTTTGTGTTCAGGTGACTGTTAAAAAAATGTATTTGTCATTGAATCATTCATTCAAGAGATTCGTTCAAAAACGCTGATTTATACAGTAATGAAACAAGTGAAGTATTTATGAGTGAGTCATTGAATCATTTATTCAAACCACTTTTTTATAATTTTAATATTAGAAATTGGTGTATTAAATATATTATATTTTAACATATATATATTAAATACATATATTAAAATGTTTAATAATTCAATCAAATGAATTAAACACTTTTAAATAGACTGCAGCAATTAATATTGTGTCACACATTATTTTGTTTAGTTCAGAATCGTGGGAGAATTGTGATCTCTATTTGAGACAAAAAAAAATTGTGATTCTCAATTTATCCAGAATCGTGCATGGGGTGCGTTTTCCAAAAGCATCGTTAGCTAACTATGGTCGTTAGTTCCATTGAACTTTATTGGTAATGACAGAACTTGCGACCATAGTTGCTTTTGGGAAACGCACCCCAGCTCTACTATACAGCCTATATACTGTGGAAAAAAAAATCTCAAATAACATTTGTTCATATCATTCATGCTAATTGCATTAAATAATCATGATTACAACATTAACTAAAATAGCTGACATTATGATTTCGGCCATAATAGCTAAAAATGTATATCTCAGTTTTTTCCATAATCGATACATCGATATTTTTGCATTTGCTCTCAAAAAATGTAAATGGGTGTTTATTTATTTTTTTGCCCTCTATTAAAAAAAAAAAAAAAGATCTGGACAGAACAGCTACAGTTCAAAGTACATACAAATTGTTTACTGCAAAATCAACAATTGTTAAAAACATAGTGATCGCTTACTGCTTTTTTCACTGCTTTTTACTAAATAAAGAATAATAGATATATAAAAAAAAAAATTTATAAAAAAAAAAAATGAAGGAACATTACAAAAAATTTCAATTTAAAGGTAACAATATAAAAATATGAAATAAAAACATAAAAATTAAACAAAAAGAGCAGTCTTCCTACAAAAAGCTGTGATTGTTGCAACATCGAAGCAAGTTCTTCGAAGAACAAAGAAACCTGTTACACTGAACGAGTGTCCGGTCATCATTTTCAGTGCACAGATCAATTGTGACATCAGTATCAGACAGTGATGTCATAAAGGCGAGCTAATCGCATCCGAGATCCACTGGAGGGGCGGAGCCTGTCAAACAGAGGACGAGATCAGAAGAGTTTCTTACCTGGCAGAACTCCCGCAGCCACGTCTTCTGTAGGTTCTCCAGCTGAAAGAGGAACGAGAGATCAGTTTCATCACCAGGATCCGACATTGTTATATTCATTACCATCACTACCGCTGACTTCCATAGTATTTTTATTCATACTATGGAAGTCAATGGGAGCCGAAATTGGGTTAGGGTGAATAAATGATGACAGGATTTTCATTTTTGGGTGAACTATCCCTTCAAACTCACATGACCAGTGTGTCTGATATCAGCACGCAGTGACGCGGATCATTCATACCGATTAAAGCATCTGCTACTGTACATACAGAATAAATACTACAATAACTCAACTACTATAACAATCAATATTCTTCTGGACACCACACATGAGTCTGTGCTGAGAGTAAATACAGGTGTGTTTGAGAGCATCAGTGTACATGTTATCAAGTCTAAGAGTGAATGTGGGCTACACACACACACACAACACACACACACAGTGACTCTACCCACCACACAAGACTATATAAGGACACACACACTGAACCCTGACATTACAGACACAGAGGAAAGCACTGCACTAAATATGGCCTGCAGTCACACACACACACACTACCACACAAACACTCCTGAGTGAAGCGTGTGTTTGTAAACACATGCTGAAACGCTAAACCTACACTATAAAAGCATTGCTCGAGTCAACGTGAAACATAATTTTCATATTTAGCTCCACAGTAAGAAGGCTTTGATTTTATTCATGCCGGGCTGATTGACTGCAAACAAAAACTAAATCAAAGGAATATTAATACTGAGACACAAATATGTGCAGAGAAAAACATATTTTGAGGAAAAATGTCAATTACAAAAAGTCAAAAGATTATGAGAATAAGTTTTGAGAAAAAGTAAAATATTTTGAGAAAAAAGTCAAAATTAAGAGGCTAACTAGCAAAAGAAAGTCAAAAACAAGATTGTGAGAATATAGTTGTAACAAAACAATATTAAAGATTATATTTTGAGAAAAAGTTCAAATTACAATAATAGTCAAAAAGATTATGAGAACAGTATGAGATTAAAGTCATAATATTTTGAGAAAAAAATGGGAGACTAAAGTGAAAGTATTACACGAAAACTAAGATTGCATGAATAAATTTGAAGCTATTTGAGATTAGAGTCATAACATTATGATAAAAACTACAAGAATAAAGTCAAAAACCAAAGATTGTGAGAATAAAGCTGAAACAGTATGTGAATGGAGTCACAATATTTGGAGAAAATAGTAAAAAATTACAAGAATAAAGTAATAACATTATGAAAATGAAGTCAGTGCAATATGAGATTAAAGTCAAAATACTTTGTAGCATTACAAAAATAAAGTAAAAAAAAAACAATGTTCATGAGAATAAAGTTGTAACAATACATGATTCAACTAATACTATTTTGTAAATATTACATAATATAAATCTAAAACTTAAAAAAGGCTTTTACATTAAGCATCATTTATCTGTTTCTCTGACCAAAACAGATAACTCAGTTTTTAACAATTTTCAAAAATCACGTTTTTTCATTGTGCATTCCAATTAATCTCAATCACACTGCAGTCGGGTTATTTTGATTAGGTAAAAAATGACTAACAAATACAGCTAACTAACACAATAAAAATATGATAACATAATACAAAACATGATTTTTGAAAATTAAAAAAAAATTGTTTTTTGCAAGTAAACTCTTCGAATCACGTTGGAAACAGCCGCGGGTCACTGCAGATTCATCATCAGATCTGACCTGCAGCTAAAGCAGGACAGAGCTCCTCCAGAGCGCCAGCTAAAAACACCAGCTTATCAAAAGTTAATTTGCAGTTAATTAGAGAGGATCTCCCCTGGAGGCCTGATGAAGCGCTTCTGCACCGATCCGGCCTGGTTTACACTCCCTCTGGGGATTCAGAGCGCTTAGATTTAGCCAAACGTATTTCAGGAGCGCCGTGAGAATATGCCTTTAAAAGGAGAGTGAAACAACAGCGAGCGCTGCCTGGGATAACAGGTACTTTCATCAGATGATGACAGACGTGTGCCGCTTTTAGATCAAACTCCTTTCAATTCTGGAAAAATGAGCCGTTTCAGTTCCACGTGCCCTTTATGCTCACACGGCTCTATAATCGCTCACGGTTCACTGCGCTAATTCTGCTCAGAAAACTAGAAATCAGACGCAGACTCGTACCAGAGAAACACACACATCACATCAGAATACCATGATAGATACTGAATGACCTCCACACACTTCAGTTCAGTGCCATGACTGCATTCATGGGGAGAAACGGGTGAAAAAATAGAAGTAAATAAATAGATTACACTATATAAATCAAAATACAAAACAAAAACAATTCTAAAGGTTTCTGAGGTTTAGCTTCGATAATTACGGAACATATGAAAGTGTTTTTGTTCACAATTATGCAGAAACAAACAAACCCAACAAACAACAACATCAGCTGATGATATGAAACACACACACACACAAACGTACACACACAGAAACGCACACATACTCACACACACTCTCTCATACACACACACACACGGAAACACACACTCACACTCGCGCAAACGCACAAACGTACACACATGCAAACGCACACACTCTCACACACACGGAAACGCACACACACACACTCTCACACGCACATGCAAATGCACAAACGTACACACAGAAACGCACACACACGCAAACGCACAAACGTACACATGCAAACACACATGGAAACGCACACACACACTCTCACACGCACACATGCAAACACACACGAAAACGCACACACACACTCTCACACGCACACGCAAATGCACAAACGTACACACAGAAACGCACACACACGCAAACGCACAAACGTACACACATGCAAACGGACACACACACTCTCACACACACACACACATGCAAACACACATGGAAACGCACACACACACTCTCACACGCACACGCAAATGCACAAACGTACACACAGAAACGCACACATGCACACACATGCAAACGCACAAACGTACACACATGCAAACAGACACGGAAACGCACACATACACTAGGGCTGCACGATAAATCGCATGCGATATTTAATGCACATCTTGTCAGAAAGCCGGTTCTGTAATCAGCGGTAAATCTCCATCACGTGCGTGCTTTCACATTGAGCAGCATTAACTACACAGAGCCACACGTTCATATTAAATCGCATGCGATATTTAATGCGCATCTTGTCAGAAAGCCGGTTCTGTAATCAGCGGTAAATCTCCACCTGCGTGCTTTCACATTGAGCAGCATTAACTACACAGAGCCGTTGTTCACTGACGAGCTGCGCAAAAAATCGCACGAATATGAACGTGTGGCTCTGTGTAGTTAATGCTGCTCAATGTGAAAGCACGCACGTCATGGAGATTTACCGCTGATTACAGAACCGGCTTTCTGACAAGATGCGCATTAAATATCGCATGCGATTTATCGTGCAGCCCTAACATACACACACACACACACACACACACTTGGAAATGCACACACACTCTTTCTCTCTCACACACACACACACACAAACACGGAAATGCACAGGCACTCTCACACGCACGCAGAAACAGACACATGCGGAAACACACTCACACACGGAAATGAACATACAAGCAAACACATTCACACACACACAAATATACACACACACAAACATGTACACACACACACACACACGGAAACACAAACACACACGCATACCCACACTCTATTGATGATCTTAAAGGGACAGTTCACCCATAAATCACACTGTCATCAATTACTCTCCCTCATTTTTATTATTCACTTCCTTCACTATTATTATTATTATTTTGTCATATAAAAACTGCACTATAAAAATATATATTTCATAATATTAGGCCTAATTATTAATTCAATTATATAAATATATATTAATTATTTTGTACTGTAGTAAAATTTCAATACTTGTGTCTATGAATCTTCAGCTGCAAGAGTTAAACCCTCAAGCTTTATTTGAGTGGAAAACAGCAGGGAATCCTTTAAGGTTCAGTGAAAACAGGTTTACCAACGCATCTCATTACAAATCTAGTGAAACGCTGTAATTAATCATCACTCATGTGCAAATACAGTGGAAACTCCTGAAGAGCAGCGGTGCATCACGGCAAACAGAGGCGAACCTTCGACAAACGGCTGTCTGAACTTTTGCTGATGCTCTGGAGTCGCTACGCTCTGAATCACATTTCCAGAAAACAGGAGCCGACGGTGAGCCGGTCTGACGGGGTTTCCTTAAACAAACATCCCGCACTCCTGCTGGATTACCAGCTCATGTCAGAACAACACGAGCTATCAGGCCTTGGGTTTACCATGAAGGAACATGTCAGTGTGATATTAGCTGTACAGTAGAGAAGAGCTGGAGATCAGTGACGGACCGTCAGGAAACCAGGACAGAGTCTAGAGAGACTCAGTGCTAAAAATACTGATAGAGAGACTGAGAGATACAGCAGAGAGAGAGAGAGAGAGAGAGAGAGAGAGAGAGAATAATTTTGTCTCTGCTTCTCACGTATATAGTGATACCCTTTGATTATATAAAAATACATAGGGTTATAATTAATATAAATACAAATATATTGTACATATGTGTGTATGGGGGAAAAATGTTTAATGGCATCTTTTTTTTACGACAGAGAGCGAATATCACTGATACCAACACTACGGATGTCTCTATGAAATTGTCCTTTTATTAGACATTTATTAGACTTTATAGCATTTATTAGACTTTAAAAAATAACTTTTTCTAATTTAAATGAACCTAAAACAATCTTCACATAC